TACTCATAAAATATTTTATGATCAACTTATTCAACTCTCCAAACATATTATATACTTAGAAATTTCCTTTGGATAATTTGGACAAACATCCAAATAGAGTGAATTTTGGATCATAATAAACAATACAAACTTGTAAAAATAAATATAGATAATAAATAGTATTCTTAACTTGTAAACTTCTCCGTCATTCTGAGGCTTCTGCCTTGTTGCAGTGAGGGGCCCACGTGCGACGAGGATTTTTTGTTGTTTTCGGAAAAATTCAATGCTTAGAAAGGCCCCTCTTATGATCCTAATCTGATCTTAATGATTAAATTCGAGATTTAGTGAAAATTCTCCAATTTACGGAACGAAATTCTGACTTAAAACGAACAGTTACCGTAAAATCGAAAATTCTTACAGTTTTCGAATTTCCTTCTTTTCTTTTGGCATTTTTCATTTTTATGCTGAAAAATTTTTCTTATCTTGTATTCTACTAAAAATATAGAGAGAAAATAATTTAATGTATTTCTCAGAACTGAAATCGGACATAAATTCCAACTACAATCGAAAACCGAAAAAAAAACGAAAATTCTAAAAATTTCATATTTCTCTCTAATAATTTAAATAGACTAAAATGTCTAAATTAATTTTCTCACTTCTTTGAACATTTATAACTTAAATGTTCATGGATACTTAACCAAACTCGAGACCTTACTTGTCTCGACTCATTATTCTTTTCTTTCTCATTCAAACTAGAAATGGCCAAATTTACATCCATTTAGCTAAATAAAATGGAATGTTACTTGAACTTGAACTTCATCTTAAATAACTTATTTCACTTCAATAAACATTAATGTGTAATTAATCCTTATAACTTGATCAATACTCAAAACTAAGATAGGCTCGAGAATCATTTGCTCGGTAATAATCTTAACTCGTAACTGAACATGCTTGGTTCGATTCACGACTTATTTTGAACAAGTAATAAAATATACTCGATTTTTATTATTCGTCATCTTATTATAATTAATCCCATCTTATAAATCCATTTATAAGAATAAACAGACCGGAATTAATTAATTACTGAACTGGCTCGATTACTAAATAAAATTTAACCGAGAATACTTTCAACTTAAAGTCAACTTTTAACTAAATAACTTAATAACTGGGCTCGAAACTAGGAACGAGCATTATTAATAAAAGTAATTAGTTCAAACTTAGAACTAATATAATTACTTTTATTAATTACTGAATGGGATATTACATGCAGTATGTAAGGAAATCGACTAGCAGCTCACCACCTGCTCATGTGATCACACCTCTACTCTATCAACCCACACTTGGAAAGATAGGAACAAGCCAAGCATTTACAGAAATTAACATACATGGTATTTAAATCAACTCCCACCTGTTCAGTTTGGCAGATTTATCACAATTACGGCTATAGGTTGGCTGAGGCTCGAATCCTCAATTACCTACAATTTATTCAAGATAATATTTCAAAAATACTTATCTTGAAAATCGGGAATTCAAACGAGAATTCATGCTTAGTCGAAAAAAATCGTCGACTAAGTAGCTCGTGAAATTTCATGGAACTTGGAACTCTCAGAGGATTGGAACAAGACTCGAAAAATTGGTCACGCGATTAAAATTAAGGTTCAGCACGAAAACGGGTGAGAGAACATAAAAATCAAGTTGCCAAAAAAGTGGGCAACTCTATATCCGCAGCGTTTTTATTTTGAATATAACTTTTGGTAGAAAACTCGAATCCAAGTAATTCTTTCTCCAAAACAATCTAGAGGAAATAACTTAAATTTTCATGAAGAAATTAAGCGCATTCAGGCAAGTTAAAGGGCTGAAATAGATCAAATTTACACATTAAACCTGCTGTTAATTTTCAGAAAACACTGGTTGCACGACATTCGTATATTGAATGTATCTTTTTGTATAAAAATGATATTTGATTGAATCTTGCACCACTTTAAACATAAGAGATAAAACTACAAATAGTATGAAGACAACAAGATCTCCAGGTTACCAGAAACAGGCCAGAAATAACAAAAATGACAGACTAAAACATCTGCGATTAAAACAAAAAACGGACAGTGCAATGATCGATTTTCGACACCATTTTCAATATAAAAATGATAAACACTCAATTCTTTTTCCTCATGAAAGAAAACATATTGAAATACAATTTATATGAAGACTCCAGAAAAATGCAGCAAGGTTTGAGTACTCAAAAATAGCAACAAACACAGACTTAAGACAACACCGAAAAACAGAAAAACTGAACACGAGATCGCCAAACATTGGCCATAACTTTCAGCAAGAAATTGATAATCACCTAATTCGTGTTGTAAATGAAACCTAAGAGACAGAACTTCAAATCACTAGAAGAGTTCGAAATCATTCGACCGAGTTTCAATGGTCAAAAATAGCGACGAACAAAAATCCACGAAAGGTAAAAAAATATAGGGTTTTCAAGATCAACTAAAACGAATATCAATAAATACAAGGTAAGGGCTCGGATAACATAACGAGGCTCCATTTTACTCGATAGAACCATAACAACAAACAAACAAACGAGGGCTAGATAAACCTCAACCAAAGGCTCGAAAGAGAGTTCAATCTCTACGAAATTTCCACAAGGAAACAAACGAAAACAATCTGAATTTAATCCAAACCCAAACAAACGGTTTCAAACAAATATACACGAGCACAAATAACTAGAAGTTTAGGTCGATATTTACCTTTCTTCGGGAAATCTACACGTTCGGTCGGAAAAACAGATGCGACGAGCGGAATGAACGAGACCCTCGAAAACTCAGAACCCTCGAACACCTCACAAACGGCTCGGCGGCGATAGAGGACTTTGGAAAAGGCGGGGCTGCTGTGTTTTACTTCAACGACGACCAGACTGCTTGCTAATCACTTGGAGAAGACGCCTGCAATGGGGTGCGACGATCTGGTGGCGGCTGGGGTTTCGCTAGAGGAAGATCGAGAAGGGTGTGTGCTGTTTAGACCGAAAATTTGAGAGGGGCGAGATGAATTCTTGCAGCACTTTGAGAAAACGAAGTGGAGTGGATCTGCCAACTCTCTGCTATCCTCAAAAGGGGTTAAGGGACAATAATTTTTATTAAAAGTCCTATCCTATGATATGGTTAGCACAATATTCATGGGATTTGTACGGGCAAAGGAGAAATTTAATGGTTGGTCAAAGATGATTTCATGGCTGAAAATCATCACCAAAATTAAACCCTTTAATTTGAAATTTAAACTTAGCAAAAGGTGCCCAAAATCTCACAATTGAAAAGGGCGTGCCATATATAAAAAATGGGGCCGGTTTTAAGCATTAGCTTGGAATCGATGCGCACAGTTTAAACGTGCGAAATTAACACTCAACAATGGTCGAGTCTAAAGGTTCCAGAAAGTATCGAAAACAGCTCAAAATAAAACTATGCGATTAAACCAAAAATCGCCGAATAAAATAAATTACAACTCAATTAAATCCTAATAATTCTAACACCTAAATAATAACTTAAATCACATAACATATACATACATATTGTCACATAGCAATTCCATTTACAAACAGATAAGGACGCGCAGTTAATAAACGATAATCTTGCAAATAATATAAAACAAATAAATCAAATAAAATACAAATAAATAATAATATAATATTCTAAAAATTCTAATAAATGAACGGGGCGTTACAATAACTGCGCTAAATTACAACCACAAGCTGAAAATCCAGCCAACAGCCGAATAAAAAAGGAGGACATGTCAGAAGACCGTTTATATCCGACTCTAGCAACGCTTGAAACCAAAAAACGACACACTGAAAACTAAAAACTACAGAACTACAGAAATCTCCCAACAGGAGAATACAACGATCCGAATAGGATAATGCCCGCTCTCACTCGGGAGTCTACTTAGGCCAACGGCCCAAACCAAAAACACAAGACAAGAGGAACAAAACAAAAACACACCTAATAACAACCTAACGTCAAACCTAAGCAACACAAACCAAAACAAACTGAAACAAACGAAGGCCCTTCCCAAACTGCTACACCAAGAGAAAACCAGCCGAACCAAGTCGACCCATTGAGCCCTGCAGCTACAAGGACCAGCCCCGAAACTGCCAAAAACCACTTGGTTGCCTAATGGAGCCAAAACCTCAGCCATGTAATAAACACAAACTGACTCACAACAGGACCACAAGACTCGGATTCAATCAGAGAGCTGCTACCCCATCCCAATTTCCTAACTGCCTCAACTCGCTCGACTTTAAGGTTTGCGGAGGCAAAATCGCACCTTACGTGTGGGTTCACTTTCTGGGAAGAAGCTCGTGGGATGTGTTTGGCGAGATCCTTGAGAAGACTCATTTTCCAGTGTCTAATACATGCTCTGTAGAAAGAAGAAAAAAAAAAGATTTGAAGGTTTTAAGGAAGTTATGTTTTTTAAATTGATACCAGTTTCTCTTCGTATTAGTACTAACATTATGAGATACTAGTACTCATTTTTTAGTGTCTAGTATGTAGTGCCCCATTTGTTAATATTAGTCGTCCCTTTTTATTTAATTATTGGCATTTCATTTTCTTTATTTTATAAATTGCTCGACAAATTTCTTGAATAAGTTTATTATGATTATCTAGATGTCCTCGTCTAGTTAATCTAATAAGTTGAATAATTTTTGTAGATGTACTCGTCTACTTAAATTATTTCCAATGTTATTATTTTTTTATTTTATTTTTGAGCAATCGAAAAATCATTCATTCGTGGTCGTCCGTTCTTAATCCGTTTGTGTTTTTTTTTTAGAAATTTCTCTTTTCAATTTTGGACAAGTACTTTAGCATTAAACTTTATAATTTTCGGTCATCTCTTTATGAGCTTAGGCTTTCTTAAATTTTTCCAATTTTCAATTATTGGGAAAAATTATTTTTGGTAGGTTTGACCATCAATTTTTCCTATGATCCCCTTTCCCCTTAAAACCGTTTACTAAGTGCCAATTGGGGAGAGGGGGTGGGGGGTGGGCGGGGGGATCAAGAAAATAAAATTCCTTTCCTCTTTTACCATTGACCGAATTAATCCCTCTTTATAGGGAGATTTTTCTTTACTTTTATCATCATTTTTGTCCAAGTGCATTCCCCATTTTTTCCAAAGAATTATTCTGCAAGGCAGATTATCATGTGATTTGAAATTCAGTCTCTTAGGTTTCATCTAGAACAAGAATCATGTATTTCTCATTTTTATAATGAAAGTAATGAAGAATGTTTGTTCGTTGCGCAGTCAGTCATCTTTAAAAATCGTGATCGTACAAGTCTGTACTTTCCATGCTATTTCGGCCATCGTCTTTTAGTCGAGTTTTTGAAGTCTGAACATGATTTGTAGATGAGTGTCTTACGTTAAAATAAGCACAAAAATCACAAGATTATATCTTTTACACCGATAGTTATGTTCAATATATGATTATTGCGACCCACCAAAGGAGTTATAGAGGTATTAAGATATTCAATAGAAGTCCCCCAAGGTAGTCGAGCACCAGACCATCACTGGTCGAACACCCAAGCACCATCGGCCACCGTGCATCGCCCAACGCGAACCGACGCTCCCAGTGTGTACTAATGAATTTTTAAAGAATATTTTGAACTTTTCCAAAACAAAACCAAGGTTATATTTTTCGAAATGAAGCATTGTATGATCTTGTCGAAGACTATAACGGAGAGCAGCAAAGCTTCAGAAATCACCAAAATTAGGAAAGTCTCCTTTGAACATAACCAAGTTGGTTATATCGTGGTTTACAATTTGAAATTGTGTAATTGCTAGACGAAATGAACCGTAGTTGTCCTGCGCTTGATACTTTCGAATTCCATAGATTTCTCCATCTTTCACATTGTTCGTCAATTTCTTGATATGAACAACCCTTATGATTTCAGTAATACGACCTCTCTATAACAAATATATAGAAAACATACATAAGTATATAATGTTTTTTAATAATACACAGAATTTAAAAAATGAATTAAAAAAAATGTATTCAAAATATATTATTTATTCTCACCTCCTCGTTATGAAACAAAAATTCCATGTAATTTTGTATTCAACAAATATTTTATTTTCATTATTCGATTTGCTCGCAACTTCATAGGTTGTTTCGTGGTTCTAGTGACTTTCTTGATCAAATCGAAATCGTACTTCATCTTGAATTGAATAAAATATTAAAAAACAAAATCAAATAAAGAATGACTACAAATGATCAAAAAATGACTGAATTTATAGGGAAGAACAAAGTATAATTTAGTTAAATGCCATAAATATTTGATATAAAAAGTATATTTCAACTACAATAAACTAATATAAAATTTGTACAAATAATTTAGTATACGATTTGTGTAATGTAAAAGTTTTACTTTCTTTAATACATCATTTTCGTGCTGTAAAATTTTTACTTTGTTTGACAGTTATATGTTTTTGTTAATTGTTAATCAAATTCTCATTTAATTTACATACAATATAATTTTTTGGATTTGGACGAAATTCAATTTAGAAATATTATTTTGTTGATTAATTGAGATGTTACTAAATCCTATTAGAATATTACTTGTTCGTCAATTATGGTATAGGTTGATTGATTCTTATGGTACGACTAAATATCGCAATTTCTTTTTGTTATGGTTGCTAAGTTGTTTGAATGATGCTATGTAATTTAAATAAATTTATCGATTTGCTTAAATATATATACTAAGTAATCTGATATATTCCACGCACATCTATTACTATATAATAGAGAGAAGAAAAAATAGAAAAATAGTATGTAAGTTTTCCGCTCATTTTTTCTTTTTTTACCAATAAAGGATTTTTTTTTGAAATTTTTGGGAGAATCCCGTCCATGATTCTTATTCAATTTTTTTTAATTTTTTTGAAAAAAAAGTTAAATTCAAACATTTAAAGTAAAAATTACATCATTCTCTCGATTGGGAGCAATTGATCTTTGCTATCCTTTGATGCTTTCATTGTCAATCTTTCTTCCTCACTTGTTACTCAGCTACTGATTCTAAATCTGTTTCCCTTTTCTCTCTGAATATCGAACTCAACTAGGGTTTAGTTATGGGAACTCTCAACTGTATCGAACAAGATGACGCCTTGGCTAAAAAACTTCACGAATTCTCACTAACTGATAAGGAGCACTCATTTATAGATCTGGGCCAGGCAGATATCAAAATGAGCACTGATAAATGCCAGAGAAGTCTATTTGGCAAAATTATCAGCGATAGAAAGGCAAGCTGGATTGGAGTGAAATGAGCTATGACACATATTTGGAGGTTGAGCCAACCCATGGAAATCAAAGAATTAGGAATGAACTTCTATCAATTCATTTTTCAGGGCAAAGAAGATAAAGAAAAAGTGGCTAAAGGCACTAACTGGACTTATGAGAACCAGTATCTAATCCTCTCGAAATGGCAGCGAGGCTTATCTATCAATCACTCCAAATTTTTAGAATTACAGATCTGGGTTCAGGTATTCAATGTCCTTCTTGATTGCTGAGCACTGAAGTAGGATTAAAAGTTGGAAAAATCTTCAAACAAGTGCAGCATGTAGTGATTGTGGGAGCTGGAAGTCATGGAGGTAGAATCATGCGATTGTTGGTTACAATGGACTTGAATGAAGCCTTACCTCGTTGTTTCAATCTCAGGCTTGATGATCAACTGGTTAGAGTATGTTTCAAAGATGAGAAATTAGTTAACCATTGTCATTATTGTGGTTTTATTGGTCATCTGGACAGAGGATGTGCGAAGAGAATCGATGATATCAAAACTCATTCTCTTAAATAAGTCCAATATGGTGCTTGGGTGAGAGCCCTAGAATTTCATCATTGGGCAGGTAATACACTTCTGGTTCCCAGAGCCCTCCTCATACAAATAACC